CACACGCACACTAACATAGATGTTCTACAGTTATTCTCCTGAAAGTTTACTAAAAATGTATCCCTCTTCTCTCTATGTCTTTCTTTTTGACATCCAATTTGGAACCCCTTTAGGCGCTCGCAAAGCTTCAGCTGGAGACGTTAGCGATCGTAAAGCTTTGCGTGAACGTTTGCAATGCAAAAGCTTCCGCTGGTATCTGGAGAACGTCTATCCAGAGAGCTTGATGCCACTGGATTACTACTATCTGGGCGAGGTAAGGCTTGAGTGATCGATTTAAGTTGGGAATACCCTATTATCCTATCGAAAACTACAGTGATAAATCACTAGATAAAAGTGAATTAAATAAAGCTTTAATAAATAAATATATGATGATGTCTAAGGAATACCCCTATTAATATATATGCTTACTCAAATTTCTGATAGATACGTAATGCCGAGACTGAAACCTGCCTGGACACCATGGGTCGCAAGTACAATGAGAAGGTGGGCAGCAGCTATTGCCACGGCCTCGGCGGCAATCAGGTGTTTGCCTATACCAAGCGGCAGCAGATAATGTCGGATGATCTGTGCCTGGATGCGGCCAGCTCCAATGGGCCAGTGAATATGGTGCGCTGCCACAATATGGGCGGCAATCAGGAATGGGTGTACGATGCAGAGGTAAGTTTTGGATGCATACCAATGTAAATAGATACCGAACGTAATCTGTATTGCAGGAGAAGTGGATCAGACACACGAACACGGGCCAGTGCTTGCAACGTGCCACGCGAGATGATGCAAGCACGCCGCTGCTGCGGCCCTGCAACTACTCCAAGGGACAGCAGTGGCTGATGGAGTCCAAGTTCAAGTGGCAGGCGCACTAGCTAATAGCTAAACAGATAACTACGAACTACAACTAAAAACTAATTACTGAAGAACTTCCAATTTGTGTTTAAAATATATGTGTTAACTAATTTGCCAGTAGATGGAGGAGACGAAGTAGGAGCAGGAGCAGGACCAGGAGCAGCAGGACATGCAGAAGGAGCAGAAGCAAGAATTCCCAGCATTGTGTGCGTGTTTTTAACTGAGTTTTCTGTAGCTCTAAGTTGATAGTTATTTCTGTTGTGTGTGTGTGTGAGTGCGTGTGTGCCGAATGTCTTCCCAATCAACGTGTATGCGTGCGTGTGTTTGTGTACATATATATCTCTATATAAAGCATAGATTTTGTGGTATATATATATATATGTATACTTCTATATATACATATATTTAACTAGCCCCGACCAAGTACCAATAAATTGGCATTTAAATGACATTGTGCTTCACAAACAAATATAATAATAATATAATAAAGCAACTAAGAAAGCTGCAGTCGGGCGCGACCGACTGCCTAATGCTCGTTCACGGATCAGGAGCTTGCATCAAGTTAACTGTCAAATTTTGCCGGTCTCTAACCTACAATTTGCTCATCCGGCTTAGAACGCCTCTAACGGACGAAGTATATACATATATTTTTTATCTCAGCTTGACTATGCATTCCGAATTTCGAGCTTCTAACAGCTTTGACAATAGCATTTCAGTAAGGGCACATAAAGTATTTCCCGTTTTTATATGCCTGAGATGGGCGTATCTAGAAATTCTTAACGGCCTATAGGTATTTCAAAGTCCCTAGCTTCGATAAAAGGATCAAGCCAGAGGTACGTTGCATAAATCTAATATACCCTTTTCATTTCGTGAACGAGTATACAAATATTAATTATGTGTCATAGCAGCAAAATCGATATGAAGTTAAGCTATATGCATATATATATATTTATATATATCTGTAGCATATGGAAACCGAAGCAGCTCGCACATTCCCTTAGCTAATAAAAATATCAAGCGTTGTGTTTTATAAAATGAATATATACATATACCCATATATTTAATGTTTAAGATACAATTTTGTTGTTTTGTTTTTTCTTGAAATTTTCTTTCGCTTTGTACCAAATGAAAAACTTTGCGCTGCATATCATGAATTTAAAAAAAAAAAAATAACAGAAGCTTCTCAAATCATAATCATAAAACAAAAATTCTTAAAAAGTTAAAAATTAAATGCACGCATATCATAAACAGTGTAAAAAAGTATTTGATTAAGACCCACATCAGATATATATAAAGCAAATATATTTATAAATGATATAAATATATATAAACTAATGTACAGAGTAGCTATAAAAAATATACATCTAAAATAATTATTTATATACAGATATATATAATTGTGTGTGTAAAGCAAATAAATGAAAAATAATTATATAAATTGTACTATAAAAATATTTCTCTAAGTTCGAATTTAGAGTTTTTAGACTTAGTCGAAAAGAAATAAGTAAAGAAAACACCAACAGCTCTTAAAAAAATTATTTTAAAAACTTAAGATGTAAAATTTAACAACAAATTGTGCTCAAATTTTATGCTATTTTTGCTGTTGTGTAAATATTATTTAATGAAGTATTCCAAATCTTATAAACAAAACCTGATTAAAAACATCATCGAGACGAATATGAAAGAAAAATTTATCCACCCACACACTCATATATACATGTATGTACACATATATACAAATTGATAAAAGCCAAGTAAAACTTTTTAGCTAAATTAATTTTTTAACAAACCTAAAAATAGAGTATATATATAATTAGTTATATATATACGTATAACTGGTGACGGTGCAATTTTAATTTTAGCATAAACAAGATTCAATCAAGTTGCAACAGGCTGGCCAGCATCCTCCACAATCTCCTATTTAGTTTAGCTAAATATATAATATATATACATATTATTTGTAATTTGTTTATACATTGTGAAATCTCCCAACAAGAAACGAAAGAAAACAAGTTATATACTATAAAGCAAGCCACCAAGTTGTAAGATGTATTTTTTTTGTTTAATTAGAAATTTTTAAATTTTATAAATAAAAAATGACAAAAATTAAATGAAAAATTCAACAAAATAAATTGAATTTCATTTTGAAATGTGTGGGAAATCCTTCGTACTGAATGCTGTAAAAACTTTGCCGTAAGCTAACACTGAACGAGATTTGCTGTCATGCATAGAACTTTCAGATGGACCAACCAACCTATTGATAAATGCATGAAACTAATTCTTTTTTAGCTAGTACAAATAGTAGCTCCTAGCTGCTTATCTATATAATCAGTGTCAATAGAACTTTCTTAAGCAAAGGTAGTTTTAAATTTTCCTTTTTAGGCTAAGAGCCTAATTTATTGGGTATCTCTCATCTATATCTACTCATGAAAAGACGAATAAACTGCAGGCGCAAAATGTCTCGAGGACTTGAATTACGGGCACTTTCTGAGGCCTTTACAAGAGTTGTAGGAAATAAATTGTCGACTAGATATACCTTATAATGAAATCAAGCAACTTCATTTAGAAATTCAATAGGCTCCACATACAAGCCTAAAATCGTATTGTGAAATCATGGACTGGAAAATACCCTATTTTTAATTTTTAATTGGCCAGTTTTAAAATGTTTGTGCGTTTTATAAATATGCATCGCACCTTAGTGAATCGTATTTTCGATTCTGTGAAGGATTTGGGTTTCGTACATGTAAACATTTTCCTCCGAGTATATATTCAAAATGAACAACTAGAATATACCCTAGTCTATTGTAATTCCAAGTCTATGAAGCATTTGGTATTCGTATACACAAAAACTTTCAAAATGAAATGGATTTTGAATATAGCCCACAATTTTATATCATAAATTAATTTGCCGAATTCGGAAATAGATAGACATAGGCTGATCAGGAATATTCAGATATATGCCACATTGCACGTACAGCGTTCAAGTACAAAACGACCACTTTCACAATTTAGTACAGGGTATAATGAAAACACTATTTGCGTTACTGTTAGAAAGTAAAAACCATTTTTTTATTTATATTTTTTTCTTCACTTTATGCTTTTAGAGAGTAAAAGCAAGAACTTTTCTTTCAACCGGCGCGGCGCAAACCACAGAAAAATTGCGTGTCGTCTATAAAACTACGGGAACTTCTAAACGTAACGGAGCATTTTGTTGTGTTTTTACTGTTCCTTCGTCTCACGCAGACGACGCACGGCGGAGCGCACTGAGGCGGCAGCGGTCGTGGAGTAGACCCAGGCACCGCCAGCAACGGTGCGCTTGCAACGCTTACACGACCAGATGCCGACGACGGAGCGCTTCATGGAATCCTAGAGGGCGGAAAGAATTTCTATTTTGAAACTCGAACATTGAATTCGAATTTAATGCCTGCTCACCTTGCCGCAGAAAGAGCAGGTATATTTGCTGTGCTGCGTGATTTCCATCTTCTTGACCATCTTACGCAGCGAGGCACCATAACGGGTACCATATTTACCAACGATTCCAACCTTCTTGGTGCGCTTGGCCTGATTAGAGAATAAGATAGATCAGCTTTAGTATAAATTCAGTAGCACAATTATCTTCAGCACTTTAGTATACAAATTACATTGTCAACTAATGCCACATTGTTTGCTTAATCATTCAACAGTTATTTAAGTTAACAAAAAGCAGCGATTACTTGAATATTTAACGATTTTTATCAATTCGTACCATTTTTAAGTTGTTGATTTGTCAAAAAATTCAACAGGAAAGAGACGGCCTGTCAAATCCATGACGTGAAGTAGGCTGCGCTTGCTCACAGCATATAGACAAAAGCTAAACGCTGTGCAATGTGAAAAGGCGGCAAATATATGTGTATTCAAAATTCGCAAACATATAATTAACAGTAAAAGAATCAAGATAATTATTGAAATATACAAAAAAAAAAAAAATAATAGAACATTATGCGAAAAGTCTAATATGGTTTACATAAATTAATGGGTCAATATTTTGGCTGGTAAACACACGGCTTACTTTGCACTTGCCAATCACGTGTTAACGTAATTTTTTGTTTCATCAGCTGTTTGGTGCAAAATGCGTTTGTTGTTACCCTGCCAGTGCTGTCCAATGTACGACGGTTGTGATAAAAAACACACACACAAAAAAAAAAAAAAAATAAGAAAACGAAACGAAACGAATTTACATTCGATAGGCATTATTAGTGCGCACTTGGATTTCAACAAACGGCAACATCAATAGCAAGACACACAGCAACAAGACGGCCGTCAGCATTTTGTTACGTTACACGCGCCCACTGTTCAAGCGAAACATGCACAGCTGTACGCTTCTGCAGGATGCTGCCAATTATCAGCCCGACACGCTGGATCTCAACACAGATGCCAAGGCGGCGGCCTACTGGTTCCCCTGCTTCCGCGAATTGGTGGGCAAATTCGCCAAACAGGCAGCAAACAGCCAGCTGGACGATGACACGGCCGAGCAGCGGGCAGCGCAGTTCCAGGCCGCATATCTGTGCCAGCTGGAGGAGCACCAGAATAACATAGCCAACAACCGGGGCAAGGTGGTGCTCGGCACCAGCGAGTTGCTCAAGTTAAATGAGACAATGCTGAGGCGATACGGCTTCACAGACCCTTGGCTGCGGCAGAAGCAGCAAGAAAATGCCTCGGCCAAGGCCAGACTGAAGCAGCGCCTGCAGGAGATCGACGACATTGCCAATGAAGACGCGCGCTGGACGGAGCTGGTGCGCGGTGTTCTGGCTGGCAACATGTTCGACTGGGGTGCCCAGGCCATAGCTACCATATTGGAGCAGGACAGCAATTTCGGGCTGCATGCGGCGCTGGAGCGCATCGAGCAGCGGCCCTGGCTGCTGGACAATCTGGATGCTTGGCTGCAGCGGCTGCATCTGAGTCCGGCACACAAGTGCGCCGTCATCTTTGTGGACAACAGCGGCGTGGATGTCGTCCTCGGGGTGCTGCCCTTTGCGCGCGAGCTGCTGCGACGTGGCACCAAGGTGCTGCTCTGCGCCAACAGCGAACCGTCGCTGAACGATGTGACCAGCCGGGAGCTGAGCGAACTGCTGGACGATTGTGCCTGCCAGTGCGATGTCCTGGACAGCGCCTGGCGCTCGGGTCGCCTGCTGGTGTACGCCAACGGACAGAGCGGACCCTGCCTGGACATGCGCACGCTGCCCCGGGAGCTGTGCGACGCCATCGCTGCCAATGAGACTGATCTGCTTGTTATCGAGGGCATGGGCCGGGCCCTCCACACCAATCTGAATGCCCAGTTCGCGTGCGAGACCCTCAAGCTGGCCGTGGTCAAGAACCGCTGGCTGGCCAAGTATCTGGGCGGCGACAAGATGTTCGCGGTCATCTGCAAGTACGAGCGCAGCTAGTGCTTGGCCGAAGGATCTTCATTTACTGTTATACTCTGCATTGTTTTTTTTTAAATTGCAAATTATTGTTATTGTTTGAACCGGAAGTCGAAAAAAAACAGAAGAGGAAGAAGAAGCAAACGAAGAGATGGGAACATTTTGAGATTCAGATTCAATTGTCGTGTGGTTTATCTCCCAATTTAAAGACTGCTTAGAGAGAACGCGTCCCTTAGAGCAAGGGCATGCAAGGACACGCAATTAAACAGTGCTGTACGACCTAATGATGTTTACAACAAAATTGTGCTTAAATGTGAAATTTGTTTTTATATTTTTAATTACTTAAGAGCTCGTGTTTCTAATTTGTACTAAAATTGAATTTTTGGCCTTTTTTAAATACTTAAATCTTATAATATAAAAATTATTAAGGAAATTTGTTTTAGTTTTGTGGCATTTTTGTAAAATTTAAATATAATTTTTTTAAATTATTTAAAT